GATGGGTCGAAGAGCAGTAAATGGGTCAAGAAACTGAATGAGATGAAAACAAAACTGGGGTTTTCTTGGATCCAAGTGCTGTGACAGGAGCTTCCCTTTTCCCATCTCTCATTCCAGGCGCAGCTCCTGCCCCATCACCACTCGCTGCTGCCCAGGAAGCTCCCCCAGGCAGCAACGCGCAGCTCTGGTCTCATCACCTCAATGTCCAGTTGCATCCCAAGAGCGTCTATGTCACCCGGCAGTACATGCACGATGGGTATGGCCCGAGGGACTGGGCTGGAATCTTGTCTGGAACATGGGCTTTGTTTGGCTCCCAAGGAAGAGTTCAGAGGGGAACAGAATAAGCTTTATTCTTCCTTTTTTCCATAGGGACTGTGGGTGTCTGGAAGCCTTTGCCCAAGGCGAAAGGCTCCTGCAGGATCCCGCCTGCATGGAGGAGGTGGAAGATCGTTTGCACTACTTTGTTGAGGAGTGTGATTACCTCCAGGTTTGACAGCTCAGCCCCAGCTGCCCTTTGCTTTCAAGAACCTTCCTGTGAAGGTTCTGAAGGCTCTCGGGTGCTGCCCTCGTTTGGCCCAGGGCTTTCAGGTTCTCTGTGACCTACACAACGGCTTCTCGGGAGTTGGTGCCAAGGTGACAGAGCTGCTCTGTGACGAGTATTCAGGAAAAGGAATCCTGAGCTGGGGCTTGACTCCAGCCACGAGGAACGTGGGGGTAAGTAGACAATGGGAAAAGCCCAGGAACGGGCGCTGCTTCTGGGCCCGGATCAGACGGTTCCTTGTTTGCAGCTTTGAGATTGTAACGGTTGGATTTTCCCCCTCCAGGATTCCCAGAAGAACGTTTACAGGCTGATGAACACAGCCCTGGGCATTGTGCATCTCTCCACTCACAGCTCCCTCTTCTGCCCCCTGTCCCTCAGCGGGAGCCTGGGACTCAAGCCACAGCCTCCTGTCACATTCCCATATATCAACTACGATGTACGTGGGGTTGGTCCCTGCTTTGGCCCTGAGGCTTCACCCCCAACGGCTCATTTTCATACTGTAGCAAACAGGCCCCCGTTGCCTTTGCTCTCCTGTTGCGCTGCTTCAGTGGCAGCAGTGACAAAGTGCTTGTCCCTGGTGCTCCTCCCCTGTGGAGTTTGTCGCTGCGGCTGCGGGGACAAGGCGACCGGCACCGAGCAGATGACGTTAGCAGAGAGCCTGAACTAACTTAACCACAACCTCCACAAGAGCACAATTTACAACCTGCTGCAGTTAAATATGCAAAAGCCAGTGAAGAAACAGCAGCGTGGAACCCGTCCTGCCACGTTTCCCTCTGTGTCCCTCCCCAGGCCGCGCTGAACCACCACAGCAGCGCCATCCTGGCAGCAGCGCTCGATACTCTCACCGTCCCCTATCGGCTCAGCTCCTCCCAGGGCTCGATGCTGCACCTCGCCGAAACACTCAACTTCTCTGGGAGAAAGGTGAGGGCTGAAGACCAGGGACCTCCCCCTGAGCCCGGCACCGGGAGCTCTTCTGCTCCGCATCCATCCCCCCGCGCTGAGCAGGCTGCGGGACCAGGGACCTCCCCCTGAGCCCGGCACCGGGAGCTCTTCTGCTCCGCATCCATCCCCCCGCGCCGAGCAGGCTGCGGGGAGCGGGTCCAGGGCGTCACTTGTCACCCTCTCTCTTGTAGGTTGTGGCTGCGTGGGCTTCTGTTCCCTTTCCCGCCCTCCACCGCTCCTCCCTCCCCGACACTTTCTGCACCTACCAGCAGGACGTGCCCTGGAAGCTTCTGGCTTCATGCAGGGAGCGAAAGGGCAGCTCCTGCTTTGCTCAGTCCGTTGTGCTCCGAGGGGTTTGCAAAGACAGACCCATCAGGTGAGGAGCATTTGAGCTGCACTTTTCCCTCCGGAGCTCTCCCCAGCACTGAGTTCCTACACGTGGCACTCGTGGTCCTTCTAGTCGATGGTCCCTGTGCAGCTGAGCAGCCGCTCAGTCACATCCCATCCCATGGCTCGGGTCTCCCCGCAGCAGCTCCCCAGGAAGGCAGCCTCCTTCTCCCCTCCACGCCTGCGAGAGCACTGAGCACGTCCTGCAGCGTTACTTACACACTGTGTTCCCTGGGGCTTTCAGGTGGGGAACTTGGATTCAGGTTTGGGCACAGACCAGGGACCACTGCCTGGCAGCGGAAGGGAGGGAGTCCGGGATAACTGTATTCACCTTCTTCCTTACAGCACAGCCCATGTGCTGGAGCAGCCGTGTTACACCCCACCTCCGTACCCCCAGTTCTTTTCTCCTCTTCTGAGCAGACAAGGCTTCCTCCTGGACAAACCTCCCACTTACTCCCCAGCAGGTACCAAGCACCCCTTAAACTTGCTTTGCAACAGAAGAGATGATGTGGGTCTGACAGGGGGGGAAAAGACTTTAAAAGGTCACCTTTTGGGTGGTTGTAGGGCAAAAGTGCTGCGTGTTGAGCAGCTCTGCTGTGCTGAGGACAAGCAAAGCCAGTGCTTGGGAAGTAGAACGGGGCAGAGACACAGGGTTTGATGGCTCTGTTGACACTGTTTGTCCCTGCAGCTGTTGAGAGCATCCCTGTGCTGGCAGCCCTCCAGTCTGCCCCAGTTCTCCACACGCTCCTCTACGGCTTGTACAAGGACCTGCAGAAGCTGAACACGCGGCGCTGCGCCAGTTTCTTCTCTGCTGGAGTAGAGCAGGATGACTTCCAGGAGGCCTTGCACAAGCTAAGAACTCTCTCCCAGTGCTACGAAACAGAGTCTGAAGCAGATGAATCTGAAGATGAAGCAGATTCAGACTAACTCAGCTTTATTACTAGGGTGGAAGGAAGAATCGCTTTCGCTCACTGTAAGAATAAAGGGAATGGCCCCACTGCTCCTTGCTTCTCATTTCAGCTAAACCCTGAAGGAGAGGCTGGCTGACGTCCTGCAGCTCCCTGCACGTGGGTTGGAAAGGAGGAAAGCTGCTTTCTTGAGGGCTGCTTTTGTATGTTTGGGGGCTTTTTTCACCTTTGCAAAACCAATTTGCTCTGTCAGCATCAGACCACGCAATAAATACACAGTTCAGGGTGGAACTTCCCCACGTACAATCAACACAAGGGGAGAACTTAATAAACCCTCTAATCACGTGTTTGTTCCACATGAAAACAGACATCTTATGGTACAATATTTACATGGTTCTAAGGCTGGTGGCCCCATCCTCACCACGGAGTGAGGTCAGTGTCCACAAGCATCCATCCTGCTGCTGGAGGTCCCCATGTAGGTTCTAGAGGCTGTTACACCCCAACACCCTTCTCCAGTCCTTTAAGTGCAGCTTGACAGGAGCATAGCAGGAAAATGAACCCCAAAAAACCCCAAAAGGTGCCATCTTCAGTACCTGTGCAGGCGGTTTTCCGTTACCCACAGCACATGTCTAGCAGCAAACTGGCAAACAACTCCCTTCTGGTGCAGTCAGAAGCTCCTCAGGCCAGAAACACCCCTCAGTCATCAGGCTCTTCCTCAGAAAGCAGAAGGTCTTTATCTGACAACTGGTCTGTGTTACTGGTACTAGTAGCATCCTCCTCGTCTTCAGAGCTCCCATCACAGGATGTATGAAACAGCCTCATGAGTTCTCTGAACCTGTGGGATACCTGAAGGACAAGGGAAATCCAAGCTGAGGTTATCTTTTGGTGGTACAACACGGGAATTCCACAGTCTGGAGCTGAGGGTGTTTTGTGCTTTCACGTTAAACCCACAATCACATTCTTATGCAAGAGTCAAGCAGAAAGGGAGAGGGAACTGGGGGAGCACTGGGTGCTTCTGCCTCCCTTGGGAGAACAGTTCTGCTCCACTGACTGCAGGTAAGAAAGTGGCAGTTTGGGAAGGTTCCTCTGCGGGGATGTGGGGAAGGCAGAGACAAAACCTGACACATTCCTTGTAGTGGAGCAGAAGTAGCAGACACCAAACCAATCCTGGTACCAAATGACAGGCTGGAATCTCAGTGGCAATGTACGAAGGACCCGGCAGCCAGGGGGTTTGGCGGCACCAGAACATCAGGGCTTGGTTGGTGGTTTTGTTTTCCAACTGGGATTATTTTTCTCTGATGCAGCATCAAATTGAAGTTCAAACTGGGAGACGAACATGACAGCAAAGCTCCACTTCTCCTTCCTTCCCCCCCTTGCCCCATTCACTGCAGCAGAGGGAAGCTCCACACCAGCCCCTCACCTCGCTGGCAGTCTTGTTGCCCAGTTTCTGGGAGATGGCATGGAATGTTTCCAGCTGGGCTCCTTTCTCCTGGCACGTGGTGAGGATGACTCTGTCGGCCTCCCTGCAAAACAGCACAAGAGCTGGAAGGCAGCTGAGAACAACGCTTGCCACACTTCAACCCCCACGAGCCCCCGTTCCTGGGGAAGGAGAGCAAAGCAAGCCCAGCTGGCTTGTTCCTCTGCTCACCCATCACCAGACATGGCTCGAAGCAGAGCTGCTTTTGGCCCAGTTTTAAAGCTTTTTGAAGGACAGAGAAGTTAAATCTTTCCCAGCTCGAAGTATTAGAATTACACTGCCACGAGCAGACATTGTCTCTCACAGAACCAGCAATGACAGGCTGTGGTTAGAGGAAACGAGGCAGGAACAGTCAAAGGGAGGGGGCAGAAGACATGAGAAAATGGGAACACAAAACAAAGGACTCCATAATATGAAAGCTGAAGCTGAACACTGAATGCTCAAAGGATGGAAGATGCAGCTCAGGCAGATCTACCTGGTCCAGAGAACAACCTTCTCGCCGGTCGAGCTGACTTTGCTGTTCTTGGCGCACACAGTTGCTTCTGCGACTCGCTGCTGTTGCTGCTCCTCATCCCTTTGTCCCAGGGAGGCAGAAACCACCCTGTACTCCACCTGCTCAGAGCGCTGATGCCCCTGCAAGCTGTGGTTTGCATTTGACTTCGATCTGCCCTCAGTGCAGCCCATCTCATCCGGCTCCAAACCACGGTGCTCAGGGGACTGGGAGCTGCAGCTCGTCCCCAGTGCTGGTTTTCTCCCTGGTGTTATCCAGCCCTGCTTCGCTTCAGGTTTTCCTTCCAGAGGCAGAGGTGAGGCCTCAAGCTCTCTCACACCTGATTTTGCAGCGTGACCAAAGGCAGCTGCTGAATCAGGATGAAGCCCTTCAGTCTGACACAAACTCTGCCCAGAAGAGGAACTTGGTCCCATTAAACCCTTTTCTGCACCAGAACGAGAGGGCAGCAGCAGGTCTCTGCTCAGCCTCAGGGAAGCATCTGCAGTTTCTTGCTGCTGGGTCAGTCCCTCACTCCCCACAGTGCAAGGGAAGTCTTTGGTTTCTTGAGGTAGTTTTAGAGGAGCCTTTTGTAGCTGTGTCCATCTGGGGCCGCTGCCACAGGAGTCACTGTCCTTCGCAGCACTGACACCAGCTCTGACACCCACCTCCTGAACGCGGGTGTCAGGCACTGCAGGTTGTTCAGAAGGCTCAGGGCTGCTGGAGACAATCCTCCCTTCCAGGTGAGACCCTGTCAGAAACCCACACAAGTGGAGATGAGCTGTTAGAAAACTTGGGGAGGGTTCATTATGGTTATTGCTGCTCTGGAGCATAACACTGTGAATGAGAACACAGCCTGGGAGCAGCTCTGGAATTCCAGCTGCAGTTTTTCCCCCTCTTGTGCTTCAAAGAAGTCAATGTTCTTCACCACTGGGCGTTACTACAACCAGCTCCTGGGTGAAGAAGTGCTGAACACAGGAAAAAGCTTAAGTGCATTGCCCAGACCAGAACTCAGCAGACAGTGGTGCTCTTGATGCCCTATTTACAGACCCCACTGTGAACCAGACATCAGCTGCACTACACCTAAACCACTGGCTTTAACCTGTGTGTGAACTGAGGCACGGTACCGAAGAAGGAAGGGATCTCTTCCAGGTTACTGATCCTGCAATAATGCTTCCCTTTGCACCAGACTGAAGGAAAACCAAGGAGATCATTTAACGGACAATCAGGGCTCGGTGGTGGGACTGGAGCTGCTCAACATCTGACACGACAGGGGGATCAAGCGCCCCCTCGCACGGTTGTGACGACACTGAGCTGGGCGCTGCAGTCACCCACGGGAGGAGGGGATGGGACCAAGGGGGCCAGAGGAGGCCCCGGGGCTGCTGCGAGGGCTGGAGCAGCTCTGCTCTGGAGCCAGGCTGAGAGAGCTGGGCTGGGGCAGCTGGAGAAGAGAAGGCTCCTGAAGGGGACACCTTAGAGCAGCTCCAGTGCCTAAAGGGGCTCCAGGAGACCTGGAGAGGGGCTTTGGACAAGGGATGGAGGGACAGGACAAGGGGAATGGCTTGAACCTGCCAGAGGGGAGACTGAGATGAGCTCTTAGGCAGAAGCTCTTCCCTGTGAGGGTGCTGAGGCGCTGGCACAGGGTGAGCCCAGAGAAGCTGTGGCTGCCCCATCCCTGGCAGTGTTCAAGGCCAGGTTGGACACAGGGGCTTGGAGCAACCTGCTCTAGTGGAAGGTGTCCCTGCCTGGGGCAGGGCTGGAGCTGGAGGAGCTTTAAGGTCCCTTCAACCCAAACCAGGCTGGGACTCTATGATACGTGCATGTTTAGAGCAGGCAGAGTGCATGAACACAAGCTAAGAAAATGGAAGAGTATGAGACTACCCCTATTTGCACTTGTGTGAACAGCTCAGAGGTGACCGACAGACCTGCCTGTACAGAGACTTTCACACACCTGAAGCCAGAGACTCTGCTTTCCTAGATCCGGTTTTCGGTCTGCTCTGGACGTCCTCTCCCTCATCTCTGTTCTCCAGGCTTTCTTCCGCAGGTTCCTTAGACATTCCAGAATCCCTCCCTTCAGGCTGAGGACTCGATTCTTGTCGAACAAGGTTTGCAGGGAGCTCGTGAGAATCCTTATTTTTACAGAATTTGTTGTCACACACCTGCAAGTCAACAGAGAGGCCACGGTTACAGCTGTGATACCCATCCAAAGCCAACACCTCAGCCTTTGCTTCCAAAGCACTCCTTGGCCTTCACAAAGGCTTCAGTTGGCAATGTTGGCATTTAGAAAGATGAGTCTTTTTCTTATGAAGAGGCTCAGTTCTTTTCACAGTGGCCACAAAAGCATCTTCCATTTAAAAGATCATCCAACTTCACATTACTGAGCACAGCAAGAGGGGCAGTGGGAAGTGAGCAGGAGCTAAGAGAGGGCAAGGGCAGGCTGTGCAGTCAGAGCTCCAAAGAGGAAGATGCTACAGGTCATCTTTTGATTTACTTTCTTCCTCAACACATCATGTTAGAGGCACGAGGCTGGACAGATCATCACAAGAGGGGACTCTTGGCAGGACTCTGCTTTCCACTCCCCACTCCAGTGACTTGGCCTATCAACTAACCTTACTACTACAATGGCTGCAGGTCCTCCTTTTGCTTTTCTTTAGCTTGAGATCGCTACTCCCTTCATGGCAGGAACATGAACATTCCTTCATCCCATCTACCCACTCGACCTCCTGGAAACAGACATACTCCAGCTGACAAATGTGCATGGAACACAAAGAGGAGAGGCAGGGGAAGGTGAGCCCCAGAGGGAGCAGCAGGACTGGGCCTCTCTGCACACACCCAGCGAGGACTGAAGCGATTTTGCTGCCAGCCAAGCAAAGCACAACAGAACCATTCAATCCCCTCTCTTCCAAGTCTTTTCAGGCTCTTGTCCTGCCTCTCAAGAAGACATTCATCCTCACGGGCATTTGCTCAGAGTCCAGACATGTGGACTAGTGAGACGCCCCAGGCCCACCTTGTCATTGTTCTGGCCTCCGATCTCTTTCCGCTTCTTGGTTCTGGA